GCCAGGCAGGTGGCCCTCGTGCTGCCGCTTTGGCTCCATGGAAATCCAGAGGCAGAACACACGGCGTCAGCGTCAGGTGAGGGGCGGGGGCGGCTTCCAGAAAAGGCAGCACGTACCTGAGTCTTGAAGAAAGTGGGGAGATAATGTGGGAAAGATAGCTGAGATGTGGGCCACGAAGGGACCTGAAAAACGATCTGGTGTTTGGAGTTGCAGAAGGAGTCCCCAACTCACGTGCCCAGTGTCCTTTGGCGCATGGGGAGAGGGAGAGGGGCCTGATGAAAAGACCAAGGCGGCCATATGACGGCCTGCTTACCTGAGACCTAATGCTCGCTGACGAGGCTCCTCTGAGAAAAGGCGGCTGAGCATTTAGGAGGAGCTGGACCTGTGAGCCAGGAGGGTTAGGGCTGCACCGTGTACCCACGCGGGCTATTCCAGAAGCGCCGGACGACAGAGGTCCGGAGGTGGCATGGCAGCCGCAGGCGGCAGCAGGGCTGCAAGGAGGCTGGTGAATTCTAGAACACGGGAGAGGTAGCACATTTGTGGGTGGAAGTATACAGCCTTACGGAGAGAAATGAAGATTTAGTCAGAAATCTAAGCAGATCATTAGTCCAAAAAGCAGCGCTGCTTTTGTGGTTATAAATAACATCTAAAAGTTTTTAAATAGAAAGGACTTCACTTATTAAAAGTCCAAGCCCTTCCGTGAACTTGCAGTAACAGCAGTGTGGTTTTTTACCCTTTTCTCGGGGCGCCTTGAAAGTTCGCTGCCGCTCCGAGGATTCCGATGTAAATCACTCTATTTCCTTTGAAATAAATACACTTCGAGCTATTTTGGTATTGGTCATGTTTCATATCGGCTTTACAATGTATAGACATGAATATATGAGCAACCTCACATTTTAATATTAAGAGATTGAGCAGGCGGCCAAGTTATTAATATGTGGTTTCACTCCAGCACTCGAGCCGTTGGAGAGAACACACAGCGGAATTTCTGAGTCATCGCCAGCCCGCTTAGCCGTCTGGCTGCCACATGGCCGTCCACGATGCAGGTTGTTTTGTTATAAACATCAAAGGCCCACGCTTGACCCAATGGACACCCCACTGCTTAGAGCACTTACAGAGCAAGACCACTGCATGGAACTCGGGGACCCTGTCCGCACCCAGAGTCCTGCCAGGCCCAGGGACCCCGCCGTGGGCCTGCGCCTCATGGACAGGGAGGGCCAGGCATCTGGGGCCTCTGCCCAGGCTCAATATCTCTTCAAGTTGAAGGCACTCTGGAACCAGAGAGAGAAACCCAACCTCTTGTGGGCCGAGCCCAGGACCCAGCGTGGAGCGCCAGGCCTGAAGGCAGGGTTTGTCTTGGCTGGGGGGGCTGGCACCAAGTGCTGTCCATGGGGTCTCTAGGCCCGGCCTCGCGGGCAACGCTGTCTGGGTTCTGACTCAGTGCAGCGGGTGGATGTGCCCTGGGACGGCAGCCCTGGCCCTCCCCCGCTCCTGGCGGGGCCTCACCAAGCTGAGTCGGAGCTGACATCCTGGAAGATGGCCTTCCAAACACCATTTCTGCCATCCAGAGCACAGTTCTGCTGCCAGTTCTCCAATTTTTGGTGTAGCCTACCCTTAACCGAACACCTGCAGAGATGTCTAGCCTGACAGGTTTCTGAACCATGGCCCACACGACCTCTCATGTCCTTCCCAGCAGGACTGGAGTCTGGGACCTGGACCCTTGCTCTGCCTGCCTCCTGCCCACAGTTCTCAAACTGGTGCCGGAGGAAACAGGTTCCTGACAGACTTGAATTCAGACAAGGGGATGAGTGTCAGGGAGCCAGGGCCAAAGCTGGAGCACACCCTCCACACAAGGCTGTGCTGGGGACACATGGGCAGAGCTTGGAGACACAACTCGCAGCCTTGCCCAACTCAGTCTAGCCAGCACAGAGGGCGCCGCACCACGCTGTGGTCCACCAGCTGAGACCCGAGCTGTGGAGGCCCAGAATCTGGTTCTTTGGGACCGATACCCTCCCCACGAGGCTGCGCCACCTCCAGTGGCCACAGGGTTTCCAGTCTTCCAGGTGGTTCCAGCTGCGAGGCCTGGACCTCGCATCCTCGCCTCGGGCAGGGCAGGCTCACAGGAAGAGCACTGCACAGCACCACGTGGGGCTCAGTGCGAGTCCACTCCTTACCAGGGTCCGACCCTGTTGTACAGGGTTTGCCAACAGCTTCGATGTTGGTATGACGGGGGAGCCAGGCTGAAGTGCCAGGGGCCTCGGTGGTGTCATTTGTAAAGCAGGCTCTTCCCAGGCCTGTTTCAAAAACGACCAATATAAATCTGTCCAGGCCACGTCAAGCACCCTGGGGGACTGAACTACATATTGGGTTGTTGGAAAAGTCATGACGTATTTTGTCTGTTCTTCAAAGGTCATTTATTTATATAAAGAACAAAGATCAATCAATGATATATTGCCCGTTTTGTTTGATAGCCTTTTGCCATCTTTCAGTGAGCTTCATAATTCCTCATTTATAGAAGGACCTGTCTTTATTTGCAAAAAACTGAACAAGGTGCTGATTTACAGCCTCATCTGAATTGAACATTATACTATGCAAGGAGTTTTGAAGACAGCGAAACAAGTGGAAGTCTGACGGCACAAGGTCAGGTGAGTATGGTGGGTGTGGCAACACATCCATCCAAGCTCCAATAATTTTTGACACGTGGTCAAACTTGTGTGTGGTCTCACGTTGTTGCGATGGAACACAACTCCTTTACAATTAACAAGCTCTGGACGTTTCTGGATGATGGGTTCGTTCAAACTGTCCAATTGCCAACAGTACACATTCTAATTGATTTTTTGGGGCCTTGGTAAGAGTTCAAAAAACATGACACCTTTAAAAATCCCACCACACTGAGAGCATAACCTTCCTCTGATGAGTGCCTGCTTTTGATGTCATTTGAGGCGAATCATCACGTCGGGACCAAGACCGTTTGCACACCACATTGCTGTGAACATCCACTTCTCATCACCAGTTATCAATTGCTTCAAAAAAGGATCATTTTCCTCACGTTTAATGAGCATATTATATTGCAGATGTTTATACGCGCCGTCAAATGAACTTCTTTGAGTTCATGTGGAATCCAAATATCGAGCTTGCTTACATATCCCAGCTTCTTCAGGTGGCCATGAACGCTTGAATGATGGATGTTCAATGTTTCTGCAATCTCTTGTGTCGTGTAACATGCGTTTGACTCGATCAATGCCTTTATATTGTTGTCATCAACCTCGGTGGGCCTCCCTGACCGAGGAGCATCGTTGAGATCAAAATCACCAGCACAGAATTTTGTGAAACATCATTGGCACTGACGTTCTTGTAGAGCATTGTCACCGTAAACTTTATGCAATTTTTCACAAGCTTGACATGCGTTCTTCCCTTTATGGAAGTAAAATAGTAAAATATGGCAAAAATGCAGTTTGGTCTTCCATCTTCAATTTGTTGTAAAATCTCCAAAACTCAACCAAATCGCTCAATTTTTTTTTAGAATGAAGCTAAAACTGTCAGCTGTCAAATGACATCGCAATAACATAGATGCGAATGACTCTAGTACTTCCAAAAGTGAACTAGCGCCATCTGTTGCAAACATGCGTCATGACTTTTCCAACAACCCAATAGTCCCCTTCCCTTGTGCTCAATCGCAGTAGCTTCTGCTCAAGATGAAATTCAGGTGAGAGGACTAAACACATTGACGGCGGACAAGGATGGAGAAGGGAGAGGGAGGTTTAGGCCAGTTTGCCCTTTTTCTAAATGAGCAAACCTGACATTCCTGCTGTTCTCAGTTACCATTTCACACCAGTAACTACACTGAACTGGCTTCTTGGAAGCCCGTTCCCCTCCAGTCTCTCGCGCGGATCTGTTGTGGTGGAAGCGCAGGCGGCACAAGGAAATTTGCAGGAAACAGGATGGCCTCTTCCAGACATGCTATCAAGAACCAAAACGCTGGAACTCGGCTCCCCTTCTCTTCCTAAGGCACTAATGAAGAGCGGCACTGCCATGCGAGTCCACCTAGGAACAAATATAACCTGCAGAGAACGCTGACACAGGCTTCGGGTCTGTGGTCGTAACGGAGCTTATTTAAGCAACCTCGGAGAGTTCTTAAACAGGGCACCAGGAGCTGGCGATATTTTTCATATTAAAAACAGTTTGTGGGCCGGCTGAGTGGCGCGTTGGTTAAGAACTGGCTTGGGACGCCAGAGGGCCCCGGTTCGGATCCCACATATGAGGCCAGTGACACTGCCCTCTACAGCTAAGATGCTGAACAGCTCAACCTGGAGCTGGGCTGCCATGAGTTGCCGGCCACGGCGTAGGCTGCAGCCCCTGTGGACAGCAGTGGGTTGCCATGGGCTACCGTGTGTAGCCAGCAGCCAGCGTGAGCGGCCAACAGCCGCAGTGAGTGGCCGTCCAGAAGCCGGCGACTGATCTGCCTCGCCCGGGAAGAGCGCAATGATGGTGCCAACTTGGACCAGTGAAGCAACGTCCTCCACAACTAGACTGAAGAACAAACCAACAGCAATTTGTCTGTTCCCTTTCCCCGATACCCCAACGCTGTTCCGTCCCCCAATTCCCCAATAAAATCCCCAATAAAATCTTTAAAAAAAAAAACAACTTTGTGGTGACTGTGTTTATTTTTTTATTATTTTTCAATTACAGTTAACATTCATTGTTATTTTATATTAGTTTTAGGCGTACAACATAGTGATTAGACATTTATATAACTTACGAGGTGATCTCCCCAGTAAGGCAGAACCCACCTGACATTACAGTTACTACCTTATCATTAACTATATTCCCTGTGCTTTAATTTATATCCCTGTGACTATTTTGTAACTACCAATTTGTACTTCTTAATCCCTTCATCTGTTTCACCCATTCTCCCATCCCCCCTCCTATCTGGCAGCCATCAAAATGTTCTCCATCTATGAGTCTGTTTCTGTTTTGTTTGTTGATTTTGTTCTTTAGGTTCCACATATGAGATTATATGGCACTTGTCTGACTTACTTCACTCAGCACAATACCGTCTAGGTCCATCCGTGTTGTCACTCTGGTGACTATGTGAGGGTGTGAGCTAGATTGGATAGCCGGCAGCAAGCTATTCTAAAGGCGATTAGTAAACGCAGAAGCTGCACAGAGCTGGAAGGCACGGCACGCTAACTGATCTCCCCCTGTGATTGGAGACTCCGACCCAGCCTACTCTATCCAAGCGGATTTATTGGAATCCATGCTCAATTGCTCATCCCTCTTCCCTAAAACCAGAATTCCAGGCAGCCATCAATGCAGGAAGTCCTTTCTTTCTTTCATCTTTCGTGTACATCCTCCTTCTCTCTTCCCTTCTCCCCAGCCCAAAGTAAGATTGCAAGGCTGGAAGACAATTCGGAAATGAGTCTCCACTGGCATTAAAGAGAGGGAAGTCAGAATTGTAGTTAATCATGTGTGTGCATTCTGATCCCATTTCTCCAGAAACCACCACCATTCAAATTAATGATGTATTGGCAAGAATATCAATTACAAATTCTATACTCCTAAATGATTATTGATCAGTAGAAAGGAACATATAACTCATTCAACCACCCAACACACTGCTAAATCCACCATGAAGCGTTGGTCTTCGCTTTCCTTGCTGTGTCAGCAGCAGGAAGCCCAAATAAGACTTCCTCCGGCTTCAAGCACTTTCATCACAAGCTTCCAGGAAACCATGGCCTCCTGGTTCCGTCCTACCTTCCCAGGTGCTCTTCTCGGTCTCCTGTCAGCTCCCTGACCACCAGCCCTGCAGGGCCTAGGCCCTTCCTTTTGTCCTCTTCATATTCACTGCCTGGTGATGTCACCCAGGCCCACGCTAAATGGTCCCTTTGCAGACGACACCTGTCTTTAGCTGCCAGCCAAGCTTGTCTCACAAGCACCAGGCTAGGTCCAACTGCCCACTCAACACCCCCACCTGAATGTCTAGTTGACATCTCAGTTACCCCCAAATCACACTGGGCTTCTCTGTAATCCGGTGTCCCCCGTCTCAGCTGATGCAGCGTTTCTTCTGGTTGCTCAGACCACAGCCCTGGGTTTCATCCTGGCTCCTTTCATCCCAGCGTCCAAGCTGTTCACAAATCCAGCTGGGCAGACTGACCAGGTGCAGTAAAGGTACAAAGGGTGAATATTACTGGAAGACCGTTCTTCACAGGCCTCCCATTTCTGCACTGGGAGGGCACAGGTGCTGTCTTTTCAAGGCTGTCTGTATAGCAAAGGCTTGGAAGGCAGAGATCGTGTCTCTTACAGCCAAGGGCAGATGTGCTTAATGTCCTTAAGATTAACGCCTCCTACAGAGAAAAAGCAGGTTGCTTGCTGTCTATAACAAAAGATTTGGACTCCCTACGTGTGAGGTTCCTCAGCTGGGACGCAGACCCACTGCGTGCACAGCACACACATGGACGGTTCTGCATCGTCTCCATGGGGCTTGGGGGACAAGCATTAAGTGACACAAACGTGGAGCTCACACTTCTTGCTATGCTGTCATCAAGTCCGTTCTCCAACTCACGAGTCTCAGGTCTTATTCCAGGATCCATAAAATTGTGGCAGGTTTACTGTAAGTTTGCACGTCAGCAGGATCTCAGACCCTTCATAGTTCTTGACACTGAGAGCATGGAGCAGGCTATAATTAGATATGTAGGGAGCCCACAATGCTTTTAAGAATATTGTACTTCACGCACTCATCTTTCTATGGATAAGAAAGCTACTCAGCTGCTATCAAAGATCATTTCTTTCGGACTAGGCAAGGAATGTGATGAAAAACGACATCTTAGGGCCAAGAACGAGACTGGAGAGGCTCTGCCAGAGAACAGAAACTAAGCCCCGTCAAGGAACACTTCTCACTCCAGAGGCAGGCGGTCTGGCACTATTTGTCCAGTGGAATTTCGACTTGGTGGACCAGTGACCACTCACGTGTCCTAGTCTTTGCCTTTCAGGTGGGAAATATTTCTTGCAGACGGCCTGTCCCTGTCACCACGTGCACCTAGTCTGTAAAGGACCACTTGTAGTTTTCTTTTGTAGGTTTCTGTAGAAGACGCATCTAGATGACAAGACCCTGGACTTCAAACCTGATATAACTGGAGGTGACTCTGGGTGTCCTAGGACGGGGGTGAGCCTATTTTGCAGGTGGGAGGGCCTGAGTAATTGTGGTCAGAGGGCAGACGCAGGTAGGTGGATTGTCCTAATGGCCCCCGTTTGTCACGCCCCCCCATCCAAACTTTTGGTGGGCCTTCCCATCCTGCCTCTGCATGTGAGCACCGGGGCTGCAGCAGGCCTGACAGAGGCTTGGAAAGGCACTGCCAAGTTTCCGTTCCCTCCCTTGCTCACTGCAATCGCTACAAAAAATGCTGGGGCAGGTCTGAGCACATCTCCAGGTTCCCCAGCTGAGGGAACAGTGTGACATGTGGAAGAGAGCCGAGCCAAGCCATGCCAGCCAAGGCCATCCTACACCAGCCAGGCCCGGCCAGCTCACGTCAGATATGTGACGGTAGAGGCAGAAGCCAAGACCAACCGTCCATGGTACAGACTGGCAGGGGCACCCTCCACTCTACAGACTCATGAAAAATGGATGGTGGCTGCTTTCAGCCTCCAAGGTCAAGTGCGGGTACTAGGTAGTAAGAGCTGATGGACAAGACAGTTTAACTGCTTTGTTCTTATCTGTCTGGATACTTTGGCCTTGAAATTCAATTCATCTAGATTTTTATGTCTTTTCATTCTCACAACTGATATTACTTCAGGGCTCTGCAAACACACTTCTAAATAGATGCATGCTTTTCTACAATGAGGAAAACACTTCAATTTCTATCATCAGGACATGTGCACACATAGGCCATGCACAAAACTTCCAGCACTCTATTACTTGGAGGAAACTGAGCTTACTCAAGGAGTCAGCCAACACAGTGTCTCCTACCCCAACCCCCTCCACTACTGAAACAGTAAATGAACCGAATCTAGAAGACATAAATGGGTAAGTTGTCTAAATCTGTAATAGATAGTCAATAATTAACAAGAAAGAAAAAGGATAAGAAGCATTTCTAAGCTCCACCATTTTAAACTTTATTTTCACTAATGAACTTTACTTTGTGGTTTTGTAAAGTAGTGTGGCTACTCAAAGTTCATGACTCAAGTCATATTCAAATGACAACGCTCTGCCCCAGTAGAGCTGGTGATACCAACACAGCCCACCTTGGCAAAGTCTGGGTGGAGGGGCTACCCTGTCAGATAGGGCTGACGTGATGAAATGCAACTTTCTGTTTCATTTTGAGCAAATATGTAATTTTGTTACCTTATCAATTTTATCCATAAAACAAAAAAAAACTGTAGATGTCATAACATAGTCAGAAACTTTCCACATATTAAGAACCACCAACAGGTCACCAACTCTCAGATAGCATACCAAATTTTTGCACTAAATTAACAATACTGCGCCATATTAATACAACCTGTTGTCATCTGCAGCTTTTAAAAATTTTAACTCTATTACCTCAAAATATTCAAATACAACAATACTCCCATCTAGTGGATAAAGAAAAACATCTGGATTATTTCAGTCGTGAACAGCACCACCATAAAATATAAACTAAAACTACAATGAATTTAAATAAGTTTATTCTGTTTTTAACACCCTCAAAGTACCCCCTTGAAAAAAAAATAACCCATAAAATGGTGCAGTTGCTCCCCGAAAAGGAATGGATGGGTGACACACTTTACAAAACACTCTCTGGAATCACGTGTAAATGTTACTCTGAATCTCATTTGTCGTCATCAATTTCTTCAGCATCTCTGTGCTCTGGGGAATATTCTGAAAGGAGAGAATAACCTAGTTAATAAAGTGAGGGTGACAATGCAGTTGGAAGCAATTTATACCTCCAAGACACAAACAAAGAATGGCACCCAAATGGAACAGGCACTGCCTTTCATCGCCTCTTGCAAACCAACAGGCAGTGGGTCAAATGTCTAGGTGTGTGACCCTGTCGTCCAAAGCTCTCTGAGGAACGTCACAGCCCCTGCAGGCCGTGGGAAACCACTGGCAGCCCGGAGGCAGGCACAGCGCTCTGGCTCGGCCCCTCTGGTGTGCACTCTGGCTTCCCTCGCAGCCACCACCACACCCAATGACACTGACCCTGCCCTCCAAGCGCCCTGACAGGCCTCGCCCACCTTGAGCTCACACTGCTCCCCCTCAGCACACTTCAGCTAGGATTCACCCAGCTTTCACATCCAGCTGAGGTGCCCCGTTCCCAGTGGACCCTCGCCTCACTGCCTTCGCCCTCCCCTCAGCTGGCACAAAATGGGGCTCTTCTGCATCGGCCTGGCATGACAATCACCTGCCCCACCTCCAGGCTCTGGAGGCCCCACAGCGGGGGGGCCACCTAGCGCTGGGGGGGTCTACACAGCAGGCACTCAGGAGAATTCCATTGTGCTGATCAAATACCACCTTTATTCTGCTGGAATATTCTGCTGGAGTTGGCTCATTTCAATACCACTTCTAGATGGACAGAATCCATGAACTCAGGGTGACTATGTGGTCACTAAGAAAGCTACTCTTCAATATGGCCACCTCACCCTCCCACAAATCCTTATGTTTAAAGCAAGAAATGAAAAGGTTAAACATGTTATTTAAATTTCCCCTTCAAAGAATATTCTGAAAAGCCGAGCAGTGACTTAAACGCTGTGTGACAGCTGAGTCACAACTCTCAGAACACGCCTAGGTGTAGATGCGCACCGCACTACAGTATAAACAGAACAGCCACAGCCCCTGGTTTCAACCAAGTGGGAAGGGCCAGTTAACTACAGAAGCAGACAAAACGTTGTGTGTGTGCCCTGGCATGCATTTTTCTGGGAAGGGCCCAGGTAGATACAAACTGAAAAAGGAGAATAGGTTTATGTCATCTTCACATATCCAGTCCCACACAAAATGAAGTGAATAAATGTTACGATAACTGGATCTATACTATGCCTTCTCAAAAACTACCACTTTCCTGGGCCGGCCGAGTGGCACGATGGTTAAAAACTGGCTTGGGACGCCAGAGAGCTCAGGTTCGGATCCCACATATGAGGGCCAGTGACACTGCCCTCTACAGCTAAGATGCTGCACAACAGCTCAACCTGGAGCTGGGCTGCTGTGAGTCGCTGGCGACGGCGTAGGCTGAAGCCCCTGCTGCAGTGGGTTGCCATGGGCTACCGTGTGTAGCCAGCAGCCAGTGTGAGCGGCCAGCAGCTGCAGTGAGCGGCCGTCCAGAAGCCGGCGACTGATCTGCCTTACCTAGGAAGAGCGCAATGATGGTGCCAACTTGGGCCAGTGAAGCAACGTCCTCCACAACTAGACTGAAGAACAAAAGGAAAGCAACTTGTCTGTTCCCCTTCCCCCAATTCCCCAGCACTGTTCCCATCCCAATTCCCCAATAAAAATCTCTAAAAAAAACCAAAACCACCACCTTCCAAATTGGTTGACTTAATTCCAAATTAATTAAATGCCTTCTCAAAAATTACAACCTTCCAAATTAACTAGTTATAGAAACTTCTTGAACAGTAAAACCATCTTTCTACACAGACATATGGGACTTAAATACATTGCACTCATCCATCACACCTGATCAAAACACTCAGGTTACAGAGGTGTATCTATAATAGAAAAGAGAGTGACTCTCACCTTCAAACTGCCAGATTAGAAAGCTTTATCTTGAGAGAAAAAGGATCTCTAAGTGTTACTTAGGTTTTAAACTGACAGCATATATTTACGGTATGTTTGTTATTAGGTTTATTATAATAACTCAGCTATTAAGTCAGTGAGTTAAAACCTTACCTCAACCAAACCTTTCAAGCTTCTGGAAGAAAGTACAGGCTTAAAAGCTTCAACTGTAATTAGGTCTAATTTCATCACATCAGTATAACACAAGTACAGAATGGCGGGGATTTTCCATACTTGACAGTAACTCAGAACTATAAATATACAAGAAAAAAAACCACTTAAGTTTTCTACTACAGGATTTTTAAATTAAACATCTCTAAGTAATAAAGGCTGTTTTTAAAAATAGTTGTCTCTGTTGCTTCTTTTAATCAAAGCATTTACTGTAATTCTGAACCGATTAGAATGCATATTTTCTTTCAAAGCCATTATTTTCCTAATATTCTCTTGCATTTGCAAATATGTTTATTTTGCATATCCTGAACATACTGCTGAGACACATCTTAAGTAGCTACAAGATAAAATTTTGCTGACTATAATAAAAATGTAAGTAACAAATATACAACGCATAACATAAAATATTTAGCCACTTATTCTAATTAACAATATTTAACGAAAAAAATCCTTTATTAACCAATAACAATTTATTTTATAACATATTAACTACTGAAAAGTCAGTGACAATCTAATTTTGACATGACACTAGGATATAATCAGTAAAAGGAACAAAAATAAAGTATGAAAGCAACCATCAAGATTCAATAAATGAAACCTTCCATTTTGACAATTAAAACATACTTTATTAACTTTTCATATGCCAGCAATTTACATATAACATAGGCTCACCAAAGACCAAAAAGAAACAGAGCAACTCTGAAGGGTAACAGTTAAGAACTCTGAGCTGCTCTCACATGGTAACTTTGTCTGGAAAATTTTTAAACACAAACCAAATATAATGTACTAGCAACTTAACTACAGGTATCAAGGACAAACAGCAATGCTCAAAGGGTGCCAAAAAAATGCATACATTTTTAAAAAGGAAAAAACTGTATTAAAATTGTAATAATATATTGCAATAACAAAAGATAAGTACAAGCCATGTGTACACATTTTTTGGGCACCCCCAGTATTATTAATCATCATTAGCACACTACCTCAAAAAGATCTCTAACATTCAAAATAACTATCAAAGCAATAAGAACGTAAATTTACGAATTTTAACACCACCTGCTGCAGGAAGATCATGCACAATATTGGGTTGTTCTAGCAGTGAACAGCATGGAGGCTCTTTGAAATTCTGTGTTTTTAGGGCTTTCAGGAAAGGAGGATGAAGGCTGCTGGTAGATTCTGAAGTTTTATAATCGGTAACATGTCGACATGTGAGAACAGTTATTTGCATATTCTTCCTTGGAGACGAACCAAAAACCTAACACAAAATGGATTTCAAATTAACATATATATGCATATATGTGTACTTTTGTTATGGAGTAGAAACATCCCTCTGGTTGCTTAGCTGACACCACCCACAGTAATATCATGCCTGCAGGGGTAGAAGTGTCCATGGAAAACTGCACACATGCTTTGCCGTCCTCTCACCCAGGTTTGATCTTGGTTATGTCACCTTCTAGTTGGGTGACCTTCTCCACCAAGTCACTTTCCTCATCTGTGAACTAAAGGCCAGCACTACTTTCCAAGGGAGTGTCTGTGTAAGTAAAGGGAATTAGGAGCAAAGGTGGCCAGAGAAGCTCTTCTAACAGCCAGGAACATCATCCAGACTGAGCCGCTGTGAGCCTGGCAGTACTCACCTTCCCGTCAGCAGTCCCTCCCTCTCCTAACCACCCATAATGCCGGCAAATATAAGTAGTTCCCCCTTATCCTCAGTTTTGCTTTCCGCAGTTTCAGTTACCCGTGATTAACCGTGGTCTGAAAATATTAAATAAAAAATTCCAGAAATAAACAATTCATAAGTTTTAAACTGCACATCGTTCTGAACAGGGTGATGAACTCTCGGGCCATCCGGCTCCAACCTGCCAGGGACATGAATCACCCTTTTGTCCAGTGCTGCCTGTTAGTCACTTAGTAACCCTCTCGGTTATCAGATCCTGTCTTGGTATCACAGTGCTTGTGTTCAAATGACCCTGATTTTACTTAATAATGGCCCCAAACTTTTATTAAAGGATATTGTTTTAATTGTTCTATATTATTATTAGTTATTGTTGCTAATCTCTTGTCTAATTTATACATTAAACTTTATCATAGGTACATATGTACAGGAAAAGCAGAATATATAGGGTTCGGTACTATCTGAGGTTTCAGGCGCCCACTGGGGGTGTCTTGGAGCATATTCCCAGCAGATAAAGGGGGTGAGGGGGCTACTGTATACAACTGTAGGCAAGTTTCAATTGCTCTATGTCCTCTTCAATTTGTATTTGATGGATTTCCAAGGACTCTTTCAGCTTTTAAAAATCTATGGTGCTATAAACAAAGAAAGCAGCGGGCCGGCCGAGTGGCGCGATGGTTAAGAACTCGCTTGGGATGCCAGAGGGCCCCGGTTCGGATCCCACATAGGAGGGCCAGTGACACTGCCCTCCACAGCTAAGATGCTGAACAACAGCTCAACCTGGAGCTGGGCTGCCATGAGTCGCCGGCGGCGGCGTAGGCTGCAGTCCCTGTGGCAGTGGGTTGCCATGGGCTACCGCATGTAGCCAGCAGCCAGCGTGAGCGGCCAGCAGCCGCAGTGAGCGGCCGTCCAGAAGCCGGCGACTGATCTGCCTTGCCAGAGAAGAGCACAATGATGGTGCCAGCTTGGGCCAGTGAAGCAACGACCTCCACAACTAGATTGAAGAACAAAACGACAGCAACTTGTCTGTTCCCCTTCCCCCAATTCCCCAGCGCTGTTCCCCTCCCCGCAATTCCCCAATAAAAATCTTAAAAAAAAACAAAGAAAGCAGCTATTTTTAAAAGGAAAAAAAGTAGATTTTAGGTCGTTGCACCTTGTTTGAAAGAATTTTATGAAGAGAAAACAATGGCTATTTTAAATAACAATAGAAGTGAAGATTTATATTAATTATGTGTCATAAATGATTTATAAGACTAATTTCATTGTATTAGTTTTGTAAATAAACAGAAAAAAGTTAATACTATATATATTTGTTACCAGTATATCCCATTTAAGAGACATAACATTTCTCACAATGTCTAATTTATCATCCTCCCTATAATACTCATTACTTATAGTCTGAATCCACAACATCTGACAACTCTGTTGGACTGTGCATGATTATCAGAATTATGTGGCAGACATGAACCAAACAGCAAGAAGACCCAAAGAGTATCCTTGGGGTAAAAAATACTGATTAAGAAATGTTGTTTGGAAATGCATAATTTTACTTTTTTTCAAGTCTGGAAGAGAAAAGTCCCATAGTACAAAAATAATAAAATTTATTTTATGTAATAGTCAACCTACATAAATTAAAAATAAAAATTGATACAGCACTTTCCTACCCTTCTAAGATCTGGCAAAAAATCTGGTGAAACTTACCCCTAAAAAATACACATGGGTACATGAACATAAAATCATGTATATAATTATCAGAAGGTCCCTTTTTCAACAATTCCTCACTTAATAAAATGCATTAAATAACTTTTAATAAACATTTCTAAGTATGCCAATCGGGTTTAAAACAAGTACATCTAGAACGATGGAAACTTGTGTACAATTTAAAACAAGAGAAACAAATTCCTTATTTCTAGTTAAATTGTAATACCTGTACAAAAATACACCTAAGATTTAAACTGAAATGTTGTAAAATGCATATAAAAGATCTACTTCATTTAAAAATAATATGTAACTGACAAAATTATTATTCTCTAAAATTCCTAGTTCAGTTAAATTCTTCATTGAAAAATTTGTTTTATTGGGCACATGCTATCTATATAATTTCCCCACAAAAAGCAGCCTCAATTAAGTCATCCTAATGCTAAGAAAAACGGATCTATCTTAGAGTTTGGAGGGCTGCAGCTGACCCCCGTTCTCACCTGCTTCCTGCTTCCCGTTACCCTGCATTTCAGGCACTGTCGTTTTCACCCTTGACCATGATCCTGTTGTTTCATGCAGGTAGCTTGTTTTTCTTTCAAACAAAATAATAAGATGGATGGGAGGAACTCAACTGTTTTATGCTTCTACGACCTACAATCTTTGGCATGATGCTGATTATGTTTGTTAAATAGGTTCTTTTATTCTTTATACTCTGTAAAAATTCCTACAATATTTTTAGGAGAAAACCCAAATACTCTCCCCACTTCAATATCTGACTATGTAGGTTTAAGGGTACAGATACTGGACCCTTCGCACAAGGCAGCCCCTGTCGCCCAACCACGCGCGGCCTGCGGCTCTTACCTTTTCCAGCCACTGATACTGCTGGTCTTCAGCAACATAGCAGCTACACTGACAAAGCAAAACCTGCAAAACCCAATTCCAAGGTCAAATAGATCTTATACACACCCCAACTATTACCATATACATATCATCTGAATCCTAATATTAGGCTTAGATAACTTATTTTCTGCAATTTGCTTGGCTTATTTTTCTTTAAAATTTAAGAATCAAGCTACTACTGGCGATTACTATCAGAATAAAATGCATAGTAATAGAGCATCCACAAGGCTCAGCATATGAGACACTGAAGACACCCCAGTACATACCATCAGAATCCGCTTTAGAAAACAGGAACGGTACCAGCCCTGCTGCCCTTCTGAGGGTCACAAACTGTGAAGACCAAACTCCAAATAAGTGTAGAATATACGCGCTAGAGAAACACTAGGTGCTACCAGAGCACACGATGGCAGCCTGACAGGACCTCCCCCAAATGGGATCCAAAAGCGTTGCTAATGCCTGGGAAGATGGTGTTACCTTAGAAACCAAGTTCCAGCTCATATGCTCAAGGTGAAATCATTTGCAATGCCACAAAAAAATGACATTCCTGATTATGAATGCTATTGGAACAATATTACCCACAGAAGTCAACCATGTCTGCTATTAAAATACTGTCATACGCTAACAAATGCACAAAGGAAGCACAAGAGGGGAAAAGGGGGCCCCAGGACAAGGGTGAAGAAAAAGGCTGGATATGTAATTAGCTGGCTACAGAGGTAGGTTCTAAATAATCAAGGTCTATATCTAACCAATAAATGGTACAACCAGGTGCAGAAATTTCTCCTACTTGATCTTCACTATCTATTCTAAAGTGAAACCTTTCCACTAAGGGTCAGGTAAAGAATATGCTTAGTTTCCTTATTTATTTCCTAGAAAAACTGGGTGTTTATAAAAATCGTTATGAAACTTCAATAACTTTGGATTACATGTTTTAGAAATAAACTACAAGTATTACAAAATGAGATTCTATAGTTTAAGGCTAACATTTGGTCCCTACCTTTTGAAATAAGCCACATTGTACTACAACGTTATGGAATTACCGACTTCCTTCACTGTTTGAATCCCTAGCCCTGGCCTTGGTTCAAATGCTCAGCAGCTGTGGGAAGGTACGCTGTTGGACAGCAGATGGGGAGACACCGCACCTGCTTGGCCGCCTCACCTGCCTGACTTGTTTCCACAATTGCCCAGCACGCTGTCCTCTGAATGCAAGGATGAGGGGGACAAGTGCCATCCAAAGAAATCATTCAGCATAAGCCACGGAATGACTTAAAAACTGAGGACAGGGCCAGCCGAGTGGCTCAGTTGGTTAAGAGCTCGCTCAAGAGTGTGAGTTCCAAGCAACAGCAGTTCAATTCCTGGCCCGAGCTGAGCAGCCGCTGAGCTGCCAACAGGCGGCAGGATGGCTCAGCTTAAAAAAAAAAAAAAAAATGAGGACAAATTAGGCTGAAAGCTTGATGTCAACAGAATTGTATTTAGAACGCATGAAGCATGCGTTTGTTCCACCAATATTAAGTGAGTTTCTAGCATGTCCAGGCACTGGCTAAATACCAGGTATACAGCAGTAAAGGAGAATTCCCTGCCTTGATGGAGTGAACATGTTTTTTACATGTTTAGAGTCACCAACTAAAATAATTTATTGAATGAGAGCAAGATTTAATATCTAATGTTTACAGTTTGTTTCTAAGTTATTTCAGAATTTCCTAAGACTTTTACCAACACACTGGATATGCCATATTAATATTTATAGAAAGAACAAAGTGGTTACTACCACTGCTGACAGGCGGAATGCCTCAGCCCCAAAGTAAATACAGAGGAACATGGAATTCAAATGAACATGACACAAATGATGCCTCCATAACTACTTGTTAAACATGTAAGTTAAGTCCCACATACCGAGGGATTCGATTTCAGATGATAAAACACGCAAAAAGCCTCTGTGGGGGACAGATGTGCGGTGTCCGTTGTTCTACACCATTCATTCCAGAGTTTAGCACAACCAATTTCCTCCCAGACTCCTGAATTCATAACAAATGATGACAAAAATGCTGTGAAAAACAATTCACATCAGTTAGTGTTTGGTTCTTCAAGTTGCATTTTCTGTTCAATAAAAAAGTTAAGTTCATTCAAGTCACTCTAGAATTCTAGGGCTAAAAGGGCCATTCAAGACCATCAACCTTCCACCACCATTTTACAGAAAAGGAAACTGAGGACTTACGAAGTTAAAGGGCATGCCCTGAGTACAGGTGGTATTAGAGCTGGGAACCGGGAAGACAGGTTTACTGGCAGACTTTACCATCCTCTCTCAGTGCAACACTTAGCTGGAAAAGTTTAGGCCAGTAGAACTTTACATAAGTGAGCCCATAGTTACTGACCATGTGCTTGTTCTGTGAGCGCTGAGGCTACCGTACAGGGCAAGGGATCTGACTGCTCACCCCAGAACCGGTGAACCCCTAAAATCATACAGGTATCTGAACTTGTAAAGTATGTGGTTCTAGCTGAACTGCACTGTTCTAACTTTAATCTCTCAAATGGTGTCAAGTAAGTAAAAACTTTAGAACTTAAGTACTCAAAATGTTAGTGATCATTGTTATTTTTAGAGTTTGTTAATTCAAACATTTACAAACAGTTTTGTAAATTTTTTTTGCTACAAGGGGGCTGTGTACACATGCCACCTGTCCCCTCCAAGGCTGGCCAAAATAGGCTCAGGAGCCTAAGGAATCCCAGATACCTCAACACTCTAGAACCAGTTCCTTAGGTCTGTAAGTTCCTGAAGCCAAGAACAGTTCCTTTAAATCTTATTTTTTAAGTTTATCAAAAAGACAGTGCCACATGAGCAGGGACAGATTTTACTCAGAAACAAAGTTACTCTGCTATGAATTTTTCTAAAAGAAGCAACAGATAATTGAAATCTTTTATGATGAAAAGAAATAAGTAACTTGAGATTTTGTTCTTTCAACAAAATGTGTAGTTTAATGCATTTCCACTTACCTACTGCATTATTTCCTATAGCAATTATAAACTGGGAGCAAGGATATTTTTCTAGCAGAGAAATGTCCAAAGATGTTTTCGTTTGTCTTCGAAGGAGCCGCACCTCCCTAACACAGGAAACAAGACACAACTAAAGCAACTTAAATATAATCAATATCATATTATGATAAAAAGAATACTGTATGATTTTGTATTAAGTAAAATGCAAGTTTTAATTTTATAAAGAACGTAATTATAATCTTCAGGAAACAGTAGATTCAGGTGACAATTCGATTTTTAAAAATCTAGACAACAGATTTAAAAAAAAAACAAAAAAACACAAGGCTGACCAAGTGGCTCATTTGGTTAAGAACTCACTCAAGAGTGTGAGCTCTCAGGCCACCCAAGTGGTGCGTTGGTTAAGAGCTGGCTTGGGATGCCAGCTCTGAGCAGCAGGGCCCCGGTTCGGATCCCACATATGAGGGCAAGTGACACTGCGCCCTCTACAGCTAAGATGCTGAACAACAGCTCGACCTGGAGCTGGGCTGCCGTGAGTCCCCGGGGACGGCCTAGGCTGCAGCCCCTGCTGCAGTGAGGTCCTGTAAGCTACCATGAGTGGTTGGCAGCCAGCGTGAGCCACCGTGAGTGGCCATCCAGTGGCCGGCGAGCGACTGCCTCAGCCAGGAAGAGCGCAATGATAATAGCAACATGGGCCAGTGAAGCGACGTCCTCCACAACTAGACTGAAGAACAAAGCGACAGCAACTTGTCTGTTCCCCTTCCCCCAATTCTCCAAGCGCTGTTCTCATCCCCACAATTCCCCAATAAAATCTTAAAAAAAAAAAAAAAAGAGTGTGAGCTCAGAGGGTCGCCAGTTCGATTCCCGGGCCGAGCTGAGCTGCTGCTGAGCTGCCAATGGGTGGCAGGATGGCTCAGCTAAAAAACAAAAACAAAAAAACAAAAATAACATTCAATATAAAATTCCCCGAGAACTCTGCAACAGGGTTTTCAGGCTGTCCACCTGACCCACTGACCAACATCACTAAAGAGAGGACAAGTGGGCACAGTGCACCCCCACAATAAGAAACAGCAAGCACCACCTTCCGAGCATTCTTGCCAGCAAAATATTGAACGTGAATCTGACCTAGCCTCCAGAAGGAATGTCCATTTACAGGAAATGGAGGTGATGAACACAAGCGTTAAATAACACCACGAGAACGCAATCAGACAAACCCAGGGTGTGGGACATTCTACGGGGCAGCCCGTTTTCCCAGCAGGGGCAAAGGAGGGGCAGGGCTGCCCGGAAACGAAGCTCAAGAGACAAAACATCTAAGTGTAATGTGTGGACAGTGTTAGGATTCTGACTTACACAACGCCACTGTCAAATGTCACGTCTGAGACAACTGGATAAATATGATCGTGGACTATTAAATAGTATCAAAACTATTAATTTTGTTGGGGTGATAATAGTATAAGAAAATGCCTGTAACTCTTGAGGTGCATGCTGGAAAACGTAGAGGTGAAGGGCCACAGTGACTGGAGCTCACTTAGGGGTGACGGGAGATAAAGGTGGCAAAAATCTTCATTTTACTATTTTCTCCAATTTTTGTGTTAAGAAAATAAAAAACATTATCCATCTGCCACTGGCACATAATGCTGCTGACTGAAGTGTGGGGGAAAGAATAAAAAGGACTTAAGAGAGCTGTCTTATATCTGTGAGCCAAATACATGACAAACTGGGACACAGAGGTACAGACAGCACTGGAGTCTGGAAGAAGTTTCAAGTCTGCAGGAAACGACCTAAATCAGTGCTAAAGGGAGCCTTGGAGGCCGTTCCGTTCAAGAACGTGTGAACTCAGCCCCTCCACCGAAACTGCAGAGCGCCACACGGGCTCGCCTCCACTCCCGGAGCTTGGGTTTGCCAGGCTCACCGTGGGCTTCCCGGGGCCCGGGGCAGAGCGGGGCCGCGGACGAACGGCCACCACCAGGGTCCGGTGCCAGTCGGGCCCGGATGTGGAACCGCGGCCGCAGGCCCGACCGAACCGCCGGCTCCCCGCGCCAAGGACCTCACCTCTTCCGCGCCAGCTGCCGCCGGACCTCCTTGTCCTCGGGCGTCTCCTTCCTCCTTTCGTCTTCTTCCTCCTCGTCCTCCGTCCCGGCTCGGCACGGCGCCTTCACCACCTCCCCAAAGAACGTCGCCGCCATAGTGGCCCTCACGCCCTCACAGCCTAACCGGGGCGCTACAGGAACGCGCATGCGCCCACACGCACGCGCCCGAGCAGCACCACGCACTCCACGCCCCTCACGCCCCGCCCGAGCCCGGCCCTAAGTTCCGCCGCTCACTGCCACGCCCTCCTGCACCGCCTCCGAGCACTTGCCCTTAGCATCGCCACGCCCCACGCCTTCTAAGCACCGCCCCTAAGCACTGCCACGCCCCCTGCCGCCAGCGCGCACACGCTCGGGGCCCCGAGAGTCGTGCAAACCCAGCGTTTTCTCCGCAGTGTGAGCGACAGACTGCGGGCGACAGGCAGGAGCCGAGCGGGGGGCGCGGCCCCGCAGAGGCCGACACAGGTCAGGGCCTTCAGTCCTGACAGGTGACCGACCCGGAAGAGGGGCTTGGCCGCCCTCTCCCCTGTTTGTAGCGCTCCGAAAAGAGGCCGGCTCCGCTGCCTTACCCTCTCACTCCGTTTCCGTTTTGCTTCTACGTTAGGAGCGATAGGGGTAGCTTTCGTTTATTAATCTCCAGACTCCAAACTGCGACCGCTCCCCGATAGGTGTCTGCCCGGGGCCCGGCGCGTCCTCAGGACAGTGGACAGAGGAAGGATGGAAGGGCAGGAAAAAACACAGTGCTTCGTGGTGTTATAAAAAGGAGACCTTTACTCTGGCAGTAGGAATTCACATTTCAAAAGCTGATGATCGTCAAGCTGATCTAAAGACTTTATGAGAATGCAAAAATAGTTGCTTTTTTAAAACGTGGCCATTTCTAATACAAAATGTTTTCACTTTAAACAGCCTTTCATTAATGAGCAAAGTGTTTAATTGGTTCTCTTCCTTAACTTTTGCGGGAAGACAAACTTCACGGAACACTATTCCAAGCAGGAGGAAAAAGGACAACTGACCATAGTTTACATGAAAAAACCTAGTATTGATTGCAATGAAAAATAAAAGTCCATTTACCTAGATTTAATTGTGCTGAAACTATTAGATGACATTGCTTACATTTGGGAACCTTGTCAATAGTCACAGAGTTAAGTACTAAGGGGTCGGTCGGCAAAGCCTCTTGAGATAAAAAAAAATCTCAGCAAGTTGTTAAAAACGTCTTGTTTTAAGATGCAGAAGAAACAATCAGCAACAAAAGCATCTACATAAAACCACTTATTTAGCAATTTTACACATTACTGCAAAATATAAGACTGGGCTTCGAAGCAAAATTTGAACATTTAAGTATAAACAATAAGATCAAATTGCTATGCCATAAGAGCTTAGGAAACTTTAGGTATGGTTAGTGGGCTAGAATATACAAGATTACCAATGTGATGTATTAAAACTGCATTAAGACTCCTGGATTAATTGGCTTTATAGAATGACAGAATTGCAAAGTAAAAAGATTGTTTGGCTATCACTTTGTCTTAGTCTTTTTGTTGAATAAAATAACGTCATTTTTACCAGTAAGGTCCTCAATTTGATTTCACAATTATATTATGAAATCATTTCTGAAAAGCATTAAAATTATAAATAGGGTAATGATAATACATTTGGCTATGATTAAAATTCTGCATACTTTTTAGAGAACGTTTTACAAGAATGTTAAGTTTCAAACAAAAGCTTATTTCATGCAGTTACAATAAATTTAGGCCAAGCACTTAAAAAAAGGCAAATATATGTTCAAATTAAATACTAAACCAGAAAACCAGAAAAGGGATTCCATTATGAAGGAAGGCTGATGATACAATCTCAAGTACTGACAAAAATGAACCCCACCACAGCAAATTATAAATTCAAAATTGAAATCCTTTCATTACACTAAATTGTCAAGAAATTTTGCAGTCTTGAGAATTATTTTCATTTTATGGTATTTGCTGAGGATTTAACATACCCAATAAAAAATTTCTACGAAATTAAGTGTTAAGTATGGGACTGAATATAGGGTGAAACATTTCATTAGAGGTCAAAAATCAAACTCCATGTGCCTAAAAATATCATTTTATTAGGAATTCTTCCCTTTCTCACCCGCACTAGTAACAGGATACTGGTATCAGTATTTCAGATGAAAGTATACTATAAACAGAGAAAAGGACAGACTCTGTAGGTTAGAAATACTCTATTCTGGCTTATGTTAAGAAAAAGAAAACGACAACAAAAAGCCTTTTTTTAAGCAGACATGCAACCACAAACAAATTTCTCAAGTAATCTAGACACTTGGTTTACCTGGATAACCAAAAAATATGCATTACATTTGGCTTTTAATGAAAAAGGAATAGAAGCCCTTAGGTTTCTATATTTTACTTTTTCAGATTTACACATGCAAATCATATTAATATTCACAGATATTTTTAAATGGGAAAACAACTTGCTTCTAACAATTCATTTTTCCAATAGCATGTTCTATGTGGAAAAGATTTGATAGTGCATTCATTTAATCTGGTGATTTTGATTTCAACAAATACCAAGTAACAAAGTAAAACCTCATTGCAAAGAAATTCTTTACAGTATCAAGACCAGGTTTTCTAATCCTAGTGAAGGCCACCATGAAATAGCCCAGACATGCTGCTGTTCAAGTTTGTTGTGATGAGATTGTACTACATTTGCTCAGTGTTCATAGAGTTCTAACTTTTAAAGTGCTGTAGAGAAACATAACAGGGTGTCACTGTATCATCTAAAAATACTATTTTGATCTTATCTATACCTTTTTATTTTCTGTTTAAAATTAAGACCTGCCTCATAATGAGGCACATTTTGGCATCTCGGTAAATGCTACCTGAAAGTAAAAATGAGGAAAAGCAGTTGTGATAGTCACATTCATAGCTTTCATAGAAAAATATATATTCCCTGAATTAGTCATATCAAGTGATCATCATTCAGTATGAATTCCAATGGTATAAACAAAATAAGACATTTATGGATTTTCTCTAATTATCTATTTCCAACACTCTACTTCAGAACTGGATTATCAACACTCCCATCATTGAATCCCTGGGTCCTTCTAGTTTAAGTTGTTTTGACTTTGGGCTTGTGAATTGTAGAGACTGGATCTTATTAAAATATTTGCTTCATTCAAAAGTCAAATAGGATCAGTGGCACTTCCTCTTGAAATGTGCATTTTTTCTTTCAGTCATGACACCATAGTCACAGGGGTCTGACTTTTTATATGCTAACACAGGACCCTTAAAATTAGCAGGTTGAGATTTTGAATGTTTTTCAAAATCTAAGTTTTTGCTACAGACCGTCCACCCACGTCCCATTGCAATCGGCCCTCCATATCCAAGGGTCCCACATACAGTGACTCAGTCAACCACAAACCAAACATATCCTATTGGGAAAAAAGTCCCATTGTTGCTGACGTGTACTATGTAGTTAGGCCAACTACTGAACATGTACAGACTTTTCCTTGTCTTTAGTCCCTAAACAGTCCAGTGTAACAACTATTTACACAGCATTTACAATGCATCAAGTGTTGTAATCTAGAGATAATTGAAAGTACTTGGGAGGATGTGCGAAGGTTATATGCAAATACTATGCCATTTTATAGAAGGGACTCAAGCATCTGCGTTTTTTAGGGGGAGGGGTCCTGGAACCAATGCCACCCACCCCTCTGGGGATACCGAGGGACTACTGTCTTTTCTTCCTCTAAGGAAGCAAGAAATTTCTTCAAGGCCCTTCCCTTTCTGACAAGGAATAATCTTATGAGAGGCTTTTTTTTTCCCACCTCTCCAACTACAGGCTTCACAATCTATTTCCTCAGAATTCTCTGTAGTGTGTGTCTCTACAAAGGCTTGCTGGGAGAAAGCCTTCCTTCCTACTCTGACTCACTGGGTTATGGCTTTCAGAAAATTCCTCCAAAGGTGCCAGGAGAGGGAGCAACGTTAGAGGTTAAGGGCAGAATGCGACTGCCAGTTTACTTGTGACCCCTGCTGGTTTTTCAGTCCCACTTCTATATGTTCATAGTCACTACTGTGCTTTTTCTTTCCAGGATCTGAACTAAAACACAAGCATTTTGCTATTAATATCTTCTAGCTCTTTTTCACTTTCAGAATGTATGTTTGTATCCTCCTCTTTATAAACAGTCAGTAATTTTTTCTTAGCCGCGGCAGAAGCATTTCGATGGGGCAGTTTTCTGCTACTCTTCCTAATCCAGACATTTTCTGGTCCTGAAATCGTTTGCTTTAGATTACTCATTATCTTTATTTTATTTGCAGCAACAGTAGCACATCTGCGGGGAGCTTTCTCAGGCACCATTTTTGCCTGCAGAGTTTCACTAGGCATTTGCATGGCATCCTCCTGATTAGGCATACATGGTCTCATTTTTGTATTGGGTTCTCTGTCTCTAGGCACAGATTCTGAAAAACGAGTGAAAGTTTGTGTAAATGCAAAAATCTTGTAACACAAGATTGTACTTACATTCCTCAACAATACATTCCTAAGCAATAAACTGTAATACTCACATTGCTAAATAGAAAACATAAGTGATCAATGACACTACACGTTTTTGACATTACTGTAACTTTCCATTTTCTTGTCTACACAAGGAAGTCTTGGGTAGAAGCCATCCCTCCTACCTAGCATGTTTTATAATCTGTAAGGATAACTGTCACTTCAAACAGTGGACTTGTTAAGAACGGGGTTAAGGACTGTCAGCATCATAAAGCTGCTCATCTAAAACGTTTCTAAAATCAGAATTTTTAAAATAGAACCATATATCAGTTTTAAGTTTTTGGTATCATTTCTAATACTCTATGTTGAACTACTTTATTCAATAGTTCTGAAATACTTCTCCAACACCTAAACAAGGAGGAAATGCCATCGTAAATATGACGACACAGCATCAGCTCTGCTTCAAGATAATTCTAACACCAGTATTTCAGTCAAAAAAACATTAAATTGGAAACTAGTAGATAAAAAAGGAATTGAATATTGATTCTATAGAACCGAAATATGGTTTAATCCTAGATTCATCTTTTTGTTTTCAAATATTTGACCATTTTTGGTAACTGGAATTGTTAAATCCTGGCTTCATTATAATTCAAATATTTTCTGAGCTAGCTGTGTGCCAGGCAGAGAGGATCAG